TTAAATGTATCATAAATTCTCATTCATTTTTCAAATAAAGATGAAAATATAAATATTAGCATAAACAAGTCGAATACGATTGGAATAAGATCATCAAACTACACAATATTAGATAGGTTAAAATATATGTTTTAATTTCAAAAACTGATATTTCAATAAACCGCATATTAATATTAATAGATGCTTTAAATAAATAAATTTAGAAAATAAAAGAAGTCTATATGAATAAATATTTAATTAAGCACTCGTATTGCATTGCAAGTAACACATAGCCGTAAACATATGGAATCATGTTCGGTAAGATTTCTAATACGATTGTAAAAAATGACTATTTTTGAGTAGAACTTTTAAAATATTATAACATATTCTGGCTAATATCTGTTATTATTAATATATTCTTTAACAAAGCCAATTTTGAGTATAACATTATTTTTAATTATCATCAATGATACATCTGTTATTATTAATATCTATTATTATTAAATCTTCTAAACATTTTCTTCATAGTTTAAAATGAAGATATATAAATTAGATACTTCAGAAAGGTTAAATAACTCGTAATGGTACTAGATATCAAATTTCAAACCTGTTATTTTTCCAAGAATTTAAAAAAATATTGTCCTCAGAAAATATGTTCAGAGATGAAATATGAAAGGCGAAATATTTTCCGAAGTCGTTGATTGTTTTTTTCGGCCTTTTCGGCCGAAAAGGAAATGAAATATAATTATATTGTGATATAATTATATTTAGATTATATATAGAATGCAGATGAGATTAAACAATATGTATAAATATGTGTTATTATATGAAGATAAGCATCAGAAAATTTTTTAAAGCGAGTAATTAATCAGCAAAATAAAGTAAAAGAAAGTGCATCATACGAAACGAATTATATTTTATTCATAAATATCTGATTTCATTCTTCCTTCTTCTTATTTTTTATATTAAATTTTTTTTTTTAAGCAAAAATTGGAATTTTCAAACTTTTTCTAAAATTCTATAGTTACATCATAATTTATTTTTATCTTAATAATATATCGATAACTAATAATTTGTACATTGTATGTTATAAATGAATTGTATGTTATATATAAAAGTATTTCGTGCTGTAGCAAATAAAATAACATATATTCTACAATATATAATATTATGATTCCTATTTTTTCTTTTTTTCATTTAGTTTAAGAATACAGAAATTTAGAAAAATTATAGAAAATGAGAATTTATATATAATATAAATAATTATAATATATGTTATAATATATGTTTTTAAAAAATAATATATAAAGAATAATATAGCGTAGCAATCAATTCATGTCGCAATTTGTAATAATAATTATATTTTTATTTCAATAAAATTTAATATTGATTTTTAAAAGCGCCTTTGCGTACATTAATAATCATAAAGATAAAATCTGATATCAAAAGAATGATATTATTACAATAGAGAAAATTTAAAAAAAAAATACTCTAATTTCGCAACATTCAAAACCATTAATAGTTGAATATAATTTCATAATATGTATGTGATATTTTTTGAAATATGTGTATTTCTTTTATTTTATTTTTTTTTTATTCGTAAAGCACTTTGTTTCATTTCACTTTGAAACCATTGCTCGCTTCGTCACCTGCATGTTTTCTTTTTCGAATAATGACTGTTTGAAAGTGATATCCATTATTGTGCCACACACGCACGACATATGTAGTACTTATGTTGTTCTTCTTCGAAGCGAAGCAAATGCGACGTTTTACTTTCGAATGCAAAAAAGCAAAAAAGAAATTGTAAGATGACATAACTCGGGTATATAAACGCGGATAATATTTCGGACTTATTACGTGATTTAACCGAGAGAAAGTCACTCCTCTGTGCGGTTTTCAATTAAATTGCAATCGCTTCGCGACTTTAAATTTACACGTCCTTTTATTTGATTATGTAAAAGAATATTTCGTGTATAACTTTCGCAAAGTTTATTTAAAAATTTTTATTATCCATTTTTTATAGAATATAAAAAATTTTATATTTATAGAATATAAATAATTGGAGTTGAAATAATCGAATTTTTAATGACCAATTTTCAAAATTTTTATATGTAATTTAACAAATTCAAAAAAATTATATATATTATTTTATGAAAATTACAATAGATGAAAATAAAATAAAACTGTAAACAAATCATATTGTTTATCATCAGAGAATTATTAAAAATTAATTAATGATTAATTAAAAATGATTTTAACATATCTTTATTTTAAAAAACAAATAGTTTTTTTTACCAAAAATTTTTTAATGATGATTGACATATTTAAGTATATTTATGAACAGGAAGTATTTATCGGACATATCGAATTCGTTTTAAAAGCTTATACATTCGATAAAACAATTAGATACAACAAACCATTGTTTAGCTTTTTAATATAAATTCACGATGCATAACATCATGAATTGAAAAAACGATATAGCATTATTTTCGACTTTGTGGTTCAAGTTTTTACTGTTTGATGTTTGTTTTGTTATGAAATCATATTGAAAACATATCATTTCATTATAGATGATATTATTTAAAAAATTTGGATTGGAATTAATAAATTCAATAAAGTTTTGTGATGCTATTTACACATCGCTCTTTCTGCGAATTGAATGAATTTCACACAAAATTTTCTCTTGCCTATTTTATTATATATAGTATTGTAAAATCTTTCATATTATTCTTCAATCATTCATACTAATCTTTAACTTGTTATTATTTTTATCAATAAACAACGATCTTTCGACAATAGATAAACAAATTCAATATTTACATCGATGCAACTTATTGAAAATTATTCTTCTGTTTTGTCATCCTCAAATGACTTTCTTTAAAAAAAAAGCTTGATCTATTATAAATATTATAGCATAATTCAAACAGTTCATAAGCTTTTTGCATCATTTTATAAATTCCATTTTTAATTATCGCCCATTGTTCCAGATTATAATGAATATCTATAAAATCAAACAATTTTTAACAAGCAGTATTAAAGAACATTGTGAAACAAGAAAACTATAGAATACTAAGAAAATACTAAGAAAAATTTAAAATATGGAATTATTATAAAAAACTTTGGAAATTTCTTAAACATGTTCTAATTTGTATATATATATATATAATTCAATCATGAATATAACGTTAATATATACTAGTTACATAGTTTATTACATGCGAAAAATTTATTATAAATTATTAAGATGGTATATTGTGATTGAAATAAAAGAATCCAATATTATTCTAATTATTATTATGCAATCAAAATATATTCAATTTTTTCTTTCAATAGAAAGAAAGAAATATCTTTCCAATCAAGATCTTAAAATTTCATGAAATATATATATATAGATCGAATAAAAGCTATATTTAAATATATTTAAATAAAATATGATTTTTGCATTAATATCTACATAATAATAAGTTTTTTATTTATTCAGCTATAAGTTATTTAAAAAGTTATTAATTTAGAAAAAATTATAATTTGAAATTTATAAAACTTTTAAAAAACAAGGATCACAAAGTAATTGTGTCAAATGAACTTGTTTGATTATTCTTTTTTTATTTTTCATAAAAATTAAGTATTCATCAATTGAATTTATTATAGCATCGAATATTTTCATTCATTCTATAAAATTTTCAGTTTTGCAATATGTAAGATAAGATAGATGGATATTTTAAAAATATCTTGAAATATTAAATATCATTTTTATCAAAGTATATAATAAAATTAGAGTTTTTATTTATACAAATCTTATTTATACAAAAAAATTAATTTTAAATTAAGTTACGAATTATTGCTCTGTTCTATGATCAATCAATTTTAGTTCAAATTCAAGTTTAGTTTAGTTATATAATGAACAATTTATAGCAATGAATATTATTTAGTAAATGCAAGCAATCCATATATTTTTTATGATTACTATACGATACTTTCGTTATATATATAACGAAAAATCTCGAATATTTAATTAAATATTTTATTAATCTATATATTATATCTATTATATATATAATCATCATTATATTTACTATACACTTTTTATGTAATAAAAATTAAAACTTAAAGAAATGTCTATAAAATATTTGAAATATATCTTTTACTCGGCATTGTTAAAGAATTATAACAAAGAGTATTTTATATGAAAGGATAGAATTTACATAGAAGAAATTTAAATTATTGGATGTATAAATTCCTTTTTTTCTATATCCTATATATTAAAAAACTGTTAATAAAAAATTTGTTTCATATTTTTTTAAAATGAGTTAAAAGTTATATTTTCAGAAATGTTTTTTATATTTTTAATTTTTAAAATATAATTAAATATTTTATAATATTAATTGTATAAACTAATATCTATTAATTATTGCTTTTAAAAATGCATCTCTTAACATATAAAATTCCAATAACTAAAATGAAAACAACATTAATTTTATAAATAATAATCAATTTCTTGTATTAATATAATTAGTTATATATAATATAAATTTTATATTTATAATTTTATTTATATTTATATAAATATAATAATTGAGTGAATATAGTGAATATATTTTATTATAATAAGAATGTTATAATAAAATGATAAATATAAAATCATTTAAAAATTTTTTGTAATTTAAAGATTGTAATTTTATAATTTGTGAATATTTTAATTTTTCTATAATATTTTTAAATAAATTTTTCCGATATTATATTTCTGCTTTTATAAAAATTAACAAGTTTTACTTAAACTTTAAGATATTTGATACAATATTACTAATAAAATTAATAACATAACAAAATGTTATATTATCTTTATATTTTCTTTATCAAATCTATCATCAATTGTAAAATATCTTCAATTTTACTCTCACCATTCCATTCTCCCCACTTTCCTCGAAACAAATTCCAAGCAAGGTCGAGAAATTTCAATCTAATTGTTACAATCATCTTCACTATACAAACCAACCTGTGTCCCCACCCTTTGCAGAACGATCAACCAGGTGGTGGACAAGAGATTTCGAAACGTTCGAATGGAATATGCTCGTCGAGTTCAGTTGAGTGTCGGTCTCTCTCCGTGTCGCATCTTTTTGTCAATCGATTTCTCGCCTTTCAGTATTTCACGATTGTCATCGTTGACATTTCATGAAAAACAGAAGCTAATCATTGATCAATCTCTAATGAACAATAATTGGTGACTGTTATGTGATACTGCTAGTTGGAGAATCAAATATTTTCTAGTTAATACACTGTCAATCATTATGAAATCGAAGGCCACGTGAAATTGTGACATGATAGACAAACTTCAAAAATGTGAGTAGAGATATGTTTAAAATATTATTAAAAATTTTAATGTCATTGATGATTTAAAAATTTCTCTTATTTTTATGAAATATGTTATATAAATTTCAATATTTTATTTATTTGAAATTATTATTTTTATTTATTTCTATTATTACTAATTACATTAGATAAAATTAATATTTATTAATATTTATTTTTAAATTTATACAAAAAGTAAATAATAATAATAGTATATAATATATATATATATATTACTTCTTGTTTATATATAATATAATAAAATATGTTAATTAATTTCAAATATTTTCTGAATTGTTAAAACTTTAAAACATTGAATAAATTTTAGATGATTAACTCTAGAAAAACAAAAATTTTTAATTTATTGTAAGCATTTCTACTATTATATTTATAATAATAAAATATATTTGTTCTGTTTGTAACTTCCATTGTTAGATTTATTATAATAATCTTGACTGTTGCTATGAAAATTATTTGGATTCTTAAAATAATATAAATAATTGTTATAACTAAAATATATGGTACCATACATAATATGGTTTTTCCTATTTATGATTTCTCACTCAAATAATAAAAGTTCATTAAATAAATTAAAATAGATAAATTGGTTATATTGATATTTAAAAGTTTATTTAATTAAATACTTAAAAATCTTTAATAAAATAATTATTAATAAATATTATATTCAATATTCATTTATTATTCATTTTATATCTTTTTTTTTTCAATTTTATATCTTTTTTTATTATATATTATATAGAATATTTAAACATATTTTTTTTCATTTATAAAAAATGAAAATATAAACAAAAAAAGTATTAAAAATAATGTACATTATACACATATTATATACATATTAGACATTTAGATTATTTATTTATTTACGTGTATTAAAAATATATTCAATTTGTATGTAAATCTTTAAATCTTCATTTAGTTTGGATTTATTTTTCATTTATGAAATGAAATAAGAAATAAATTATTTTTGAATAATTAACTAGTTTAAATAATAATAAAAATGAAAATGAAAAATGAAAAAGAGAAATAACAAATAAGAGAGAATGAAGAAATATATAAAAAAACATATACAATTTTTTAAATTCAAAATAAATAAATAAATAAAAAACTATATTTAATTTCAATTAATATGATTCCTATTCTAAATCATTAATATTTTTATAAAAATATAAATTTTTCTTAAAAATATTTAAAATTATTTTTATGATTTTTTTATAATCTAATCTCTATATACTCTTATATATTAAAACAATGATATGTATATTAAATCGTAATAATTTACTGAAGACTTTGCATTACTTGTTTTGCTTATTTGTTTTTTTACACTATGTTTGATCTTTGACTTTCAAATCTACACTAACTACTTTTTCTTTTCTTTTTTTCTATTTGTTTTTTGTCTCTCTTTTTCTCTCTCTCTCTGTTTCTCTCTTATATATGCATATATGCATATTTAATATTATGTAAATACAGTCGTTAAAGTACGCGATCCTGTGTCTTCGATGGCCTTATCCTAAACATTATTTTTTATACTTCTATATTATTTTATATATTATATATTTAATTTTTTAATTATATAATAATTTTAACACTTTCGATATATATGTATGTATATATTTGTCAACACCTCCTATTCGTACTGAAAAAGTATTATTCGAAAATGATACAATGATATCCAACATCTATTATAAAAAATAGAATATGATTAATTAATATGAATAATTAATATAATATGATTAATATAAATCAAAGTTTAATAAAAGTTTTTTACAAATATTTTATAAATTAAAATTAAACTATATCATATATAGAAAAAAATTGTTTAAAATAATAATTTTGACAATAGATTTCAAGGTCATTAAAATCAGTATAATCATCTCTATTTTAAAGAGAATAAAATTTTCATTATCCAAAGCAAGAAAGACAAAACCATTCAGTTCAAGAAATTTCGAATAAAATAGATTTTTTTGAGATGAATTAATCTATATTTTGAGCAAAATAATTTGCAATAAAATTGAGATAATAGTGTCAAAAATGACATTTTATTTTATTTTAGATATTTTTATAAAATAAATTTTTATTATAAAAATTATAAAAATCATTATATAAATATAAATTTTTTTAATATACAGAGAATGTATATATTTTATAAATAAATTTTCAATTTCCTTCTCCTATTTCTTATTATCAATGATTATGGATTTCCCAATAAAATATATATATATATATATATATACACTTTTAAAAATTTTGCAGCATTTTCATCGCAAGTTCTATTGTTATAATTATCAAATATTTTTATAACTTATATATCAATTTTTTTTAGTTATTTATTTTATTCATAATTAAAAATAAAATAGAATTTCTTGTTTTCTTCTAAATAAATAAAAACTGTATGAAAATGCATAACCTATATAATTTGATTAGTACTGCAAAGTATTTTTATTATTTTATATATATATATATATTTTATATATATTTATTTTAGACATAAATAAAAATATAAATTCGACATAGGAATCAAAGTTATGTGAATGTCTAAATATTTTGTATTTTGTATTATCATTAATTATCCTCTCATAAAATATATTGTATTATATTAATAATAAATTATTATATTAATAATAATTTATATTAATAATATTATTAATTCTATTCTATATGTATTAACATATTAATATAATATGTATTATATTAAATCTATATATAATATACATATATAAATATATGTATATGTATTATATTTAATTCATAAATATTTCATGAGATCAAAAAAAAAAATATATATATATAACTTTTTAAATTTAGAGATTAGTATGTAAATATTTGTTTTAAATAATCTTTTTTTTTATAGAAATTCTATTTTTTTTTTCAAATTTTCTATTAAGATGTAAATAAAATATAAATATCCATTCTCTTTCTTAATTTTTCATTTATAAGAACTAAAATGAGAAGTTTTTCATTTTGATATAGAATATGCAAAATAAAATGTTATTAATAAATTATTTTTCAAAATAATCTAAAAGATAGACTTCATTATAGCAAAAAGATCGATTTCATTTAT